CCAACACTACAAAGATGGATGGCCCCAGCAGAGGTATAGTGCCTTGAGAGATTATTAGGCCTTAATCTCACACCTGACCTAAAGTGGAACTCGTATATACCAGCCATTGCTAAAGATGAAGGTAAAACTGTCTGCTCCCTGTACAATTCCAGTAAATACCCGACGCCTCATGTTATTCTCTGCCTCAACAAGAGCCAGATAAGGCCAAGAATTGAGTACCGCTGTTACATTTGAACAGGAGATACACAGAATTAACTCTCCGGCCTAAAAAAAAAAACAGTTAAATGTAACCGTCTCTTCTGCTCCAACAGCTTCCTCACTCGCATTTCACGGCAGGGGAACTCCTTTTCTCTTACTTGCTTCCCTGATAGCTATAATCTTTAAGAAATGAAATGTGTTTTGTTTCCAATAGAGTCTTTGATTTGGGGCGGTGGTGGGGGGGTCTTTTTTGGGGTCTTTTTTTTTTTGTTCTTTTTTAAAGCATTTCACCTCAAGGATTTCCACTATTACGCAAGGGGCTGCAGAGAGTGAAAGACTGGCTATAGGAAAGGATAGAAAGAAAAACGGTATGAAGTTAACAGATGCCGATTGACATTACATTTAATTTTTTAAAGATTATAGTTATCAGGGAAGTAAATAAGAGAAAGGGAGTTCCACGGACTGGAAATGCGAGAGAAGAAGCTATTGGAGTAGAAGAGGTGGTTACATTTAACTGTTTCGAATGTAAAATGGGTGTGGCCGAGATGTCAGCCTAGTAGCACGCTTAAATTCATGAAGTCGGGGCACCCAGTGAAAATAGCTCGTCAGAGCAGTTGCCATAAAAATATTAGTAGAGTGAAGCCACGTCAAGTCGGTGGGAAAGTGAGTGATGTCGAGATGCCAGGTCAGGACCTATCATATTGCAGATCCTTCTTTGGATTTTGTTGAGGACCGCGAGATAAACAACGGGGGCACCAGACCAGATATGGCAATAGTATTCAATGCAAGGACGAATGGTAGATTTGTAGATGTGAAGGATAGACTCAGGCGGGAAAAATCTTCTGGCGGTAGATTCAGCTATAGATTCAATGTAGTCGTTCCACCTCAGATCAGTTGAAAACGTGAGACAAAGATAGTGCAGTGAGGCTCTCTTGTGGGGTTGAGCATCGACCATGTTGATAAGAGGCAGGGAAGTTTTTCTATGCTGAGTAAATGACAGCAGTTTCGTTTTGAATTCATTAAAATTCGCAACCATTTTCTGCCTCAGTCAACCACAGATTAAAATGAATAAAAATTGCCTCCTAAAGTAACCCTCTACATCGAGTGGCCTCTAGGTATTGTACAGAGTGAAACTCACTGTAAAAAAATAAAAATACATTTTGTATCAAAATGACCAACAATACTTGTAGTTGAAGCCATAAAATTGTATTCAAAATATTTAGATTTCGGTGTTAAATAACACATAGAGGTTAATATGCAGCTAAACAAAATCAACCAACAACCAACGTAAACTCTATTACGCTTACGGTCATATTACATCAACGTTAAGCAATATCAAGCCTGGTCAGTAACTTGATGGTTGACCGCTTGGTAATAGCCGGTGCTTTAAGCATTCCTGTAATGGATTTTGGCTCGAAATTTTTAATCGGAGAGCCGAGTTCCAATTTCTTGACTCTTTGGCTCAGCCAGTTGTAACCTTCACGGATAGAACCCCCCCCCCCGCCATACCACACCCAATGTAGCAAACCTTCCTCATTCTAAAAATAATTTTCTGGCTTAAAATAACCTGATAAGCTGTAGAAAACGAATCAATAATTCTGTCAATAAACAGTATTATTAAACTATAAAACAGGCCTACACAAAATAAGGTGCTCGGTTCGTACGTCACCCACAAGTGTGGACTGCGGAGTATTTTCAAAATGGTAAAATTTTGTGCTCCTCAGAATAAATTCGATGTACGAAATATTCAGTTATTCAAAATCAAGGTGTTGGGTCCCGTTTCATCCTCAAGCGAAAATTGATTCAACATAATTTTAACCATTATATTGATGGTTTCGGCTCTCGTTTTTGAAACATGAGAACTCTTATGTAGCGAAGGAATCATACTTTTTTAAAAATTGTTATATATACATATATATAATTCATAGAGTCTACAATAACAAAACTTAACAGAATGCACTGGACGGCCGTCCATCAACAATGGCTATCCACTATCGAGAACTGAACCCCGGACCGTTACGATAGGAGGCAAACGCTATACCAACTGCTGCAACGGGCCTCGGTGACAAAGAGGTAGCGAATCAGACTTGATATAGCGCAGCTCGATGACATATTCCGTGGTGGAACTCGTCCGGGTTTCTCTTTTACCCATGAGGACTGTGCCTCCCCAAGCCGCTCTGCCCAGAGAATTAGAAGCCGGTTCAAGCCGATATACAAGTGATAGAAATTATTAAGAGGATTTGAGATAATTATTATTAAGTAATTCACCCAGTCCAGAAGAAATCTCAACAGAATGCAGAAAGCACTGCACTATATTTGAGACTCATCAGCAGTGCGCATCCACTACCGAAAATTGAAACCCAGACACTTACATTGACAGGCAAACGTCATACCAACTGTACCAACGGGCCTCGGTGCCGAAGAGGTAGCGAATTAAACTCCAAAACTGTTCAGAAATAGCCAAGCCAATAAAGATACCAGCATTACATTTTTATAATTAAAAAATTACCAACAATACATATTTATAACAAAATGACTATTCTATCTGTAGCTGAAGGCATACAATTCTGTTCAAAATAATATTTAGTTGAAACCATAAAATTGTCTCCAAAATATTTAGATTTCGGCATTAAATAACCCACAGTTTCATATGCCGCTAAACAAAATCAACCAACGAACAATACCTATTTATAGTAAATGTTTAGTTGAAGCCATAAAGCCGTGTTCAAAATATTTATATTTCGGCATTAAATAGCCTAAAGAATTTAATATGCCGCTAAATGAAATCAACGACCAACATGAAAGAATTCTTTCTGTTGTGACAGAAATGGTTAACGTAATAACAAAAACCAAGTTTACAGATATATCGTATATTAAACAGTAAGTACACAAGAAGAGTATTATACAACTAGTAAGAGTGTATCGAATGAACTAGCTCTCAATCTATTCATAGTTCACTGTTCACTGTTCCCCGAACCTTCTCTCCTACTAAATTTATAGTAGGCGTCCTCCCTCTAAAGATATACTCTTTAGAGGGAGGACGCTACAACACTTTCATAACATTAATCCATATAATATTATACAATTTCTTAAACCAAACTGTATTCCAAATTAGAACTTCAACATAACTACAAAAGAAAACACACATACCACCACTTATAGTAATTATGTCCCCAAAAAACATGCATATTTTTTTCTTAATTACTTCACTCCAAGCAAGGCGGAAATGCCACTAGTACTCATGGGGCTACAGAGAATGAAAGAGAGAAAAGACTAAGTATAGGGAGGATTGATGAAAGGATAAAAGATGAACGGTATTCAAGAAGATAGAAGATGACGATTGACGTTGCATTTAAGTTTTTGAAGATTGTAGTTATCAGGCAAGTAAGTAAACGAAAGGGAGTTCCACGGACGAGATGTGCGAGAAAAGAAAATGTTGCAGGAGAAGTGGCGGTTGCATTTAACTATTTCAACAGTAAATGGGTTGGACAGATGCCACCTTAGCAGCACGCTTAAATTCATCTAGTCGGAAAAAAAGATCGTCAGACAAATTGACATGAAAATATTTGTAGAAAAGACAGAGGGAAGCCACGTCACCTCGCTGAGAAAGCGACTGAAGTCGAGATCCTAAGACAGAATCGATTACATTACAGATCCTTCTTTGGATTTGGTCATTAATCTCGAGATGTACAGAAGGAGCACCAGACCATATATAGCAGCAGTATCCAATGCACGGACGTAATGGTAGATTTGTAAATGTGAAAGACGTACTTCTGGCACGACACAGTGACCCAACTTTCCTTGCAGTAGATGCAGCTATTGATTCGATGTATATGCAACAAAAGCTTAGTATCATCTACCATATCTTCAATTGTGAAAGCAGAATAACTTATATCAAATTTTTATTATTTCAAAGCTTAAAATATCAACAATAAACGGGTTGGACAGATGTCAATCTAGTAGGATGCTTAAATTCATCTAGTCGGGACACCAGGGAAAAAAGCTCGTCAGAGAATCTGCCATGAAAATATTTGCAGAAAAGACAGAAGGAAGCCACGTCACCTCGCTGTGAAAGCGTCTGAAGTCGTGATCCTAAGACAGGATCGATTACATTACAGATCCTTCTTTGGATTTTGATATTAATATCGACATGTACAGAAGGAGCACCAGACCATATATGGCAGCATTATCCAATGCACGGATGTAATGGTAGATTGTAAATGTGAGACAGACTTCTGGCACGACACAGTGACCCAACTTTCCTTGCAGTAGATGCAGCTATTGATTCGATGTATATGCAACAAAAGCTTAGTATCATCTACCATGTCTTCAATTGTGAAAGCAGAATAACTTATATCAAATTTCTATTATTTCAAAGCTTAAAATTTCGACATTCAATAGCTTATAAGGAGTCGATATGACATCAAACAAACGAATCAAATTAAATCAAAACGGTGACAAGAATTTGATACAAGGTCGATTTTATAAGTTTCAACCTGTTAGGTCTATAGATGCCGGGTGTTGTAATATAATGAAACGAGTAATAATACTATTACAATTACTAAAAGTGTTTTATTCGAATATTTTTAAAACAAATGTGATGTGTTGCTTAGTGATTACATTGTTCTCGCGAATCTTCGTTACGCGTTATTTGGGAATAACTGGCTTCCGGTTATAATTACCTGAATATGGCGAAGCACGTGACCGAAAAAAATGTCAAGATTTAGATCTCGAGTTTAATAACATTTAAACTTGAAAATCTTAAAGAAAAAAATGCGTATTATATAAGAATAATTATGGTATTAATAGATAGATAGATAGATAGATAGATAGATAGATAGATAAGGACTGATATATACATGCATACAAACAGATACATAGATACATAGATTTGAACAGAAATAGATAGATAGATAGATAGATAGATAGATAGATAGATAGATAGATAGATAAGGACTGATATATACATGCATACAAACATGCATACATAGATTTGAACAGAAAGACATAGATAGATAGATAGATAGATAGATAGATAGATAAGGACTGATACATATATAGACTTGAATAGAATGAGATAGATAGATAGATAGATAGATAGATAGATAGATAAGGACTGATACATATATAGACTTGAATAGAATGAGATAGATAGATAGATAGATAGATAGATAGATAGATAAGGACTGATACATATATAGAATAGAATGAGATAGATAGATAGATAGATAGATAGATAGATAGATAGATAGATAGATAAGGGCTAAGATAGATAGATATGTAAGGGCTAAGACAAATAGATCGATAGAAAAAATGCCAAGATGTAGGTCTCGCGTATAATAACTTTTACACTTGAAAATCTTGAAGAAAAAAATGCGTATTATATAAGAATAATTATGGTAGCTCTCAAAATAGTTCAAGAGTGTTTAGATTATATTTAGCGACATAAAAACTTTCTGAAAAAAAAAGGCAAAAACATTTACTGGCAAAAATAAGAGAGCACACACAGACACCAGGAGCATCAATTTCATACGCGGTCATTACATATTTGGCGACTTAATTGCTAACGTTTAAATACCTTTGCATACTCTCGTCAGGAATTCATTAATTAGGAAAGAGATAAATATTTGATTAGTAGAGAGAAGGAGAAGCAGTGTGAAGAGCGGCCTGAAAGTGGTGTGCGGTGCGGGGTAATGACTTCAGGAGAAGAGAAAGGGCTGAGGTGCGAGCGATGGGGTGTCGTTTCACTGATGTGGAATCAATAAGCGAATTGTGGAAGGTCAATTAACAAGAGAGCTGGGATGAAAATACAAAGGATTTGACGGGAAATGATTTCGGCGGGAAAGTGATTGGAAAGATAGGAAAACCAACGCGCATGCGCAGAAATAAATTGATGTGTTGCACAGTGGGCGGTTGCTTAGGTAGACAGGTGCATTATTACATATATATATGTGTGTGTGTGTGTGTGTGTGTGTGTGTGTGTGTGTAGAGAAGTATTCATTGAAGGAAAATGGAACGAAAGAAAAAGAATAGATAGATAGATAGACAGATAGATAGATAATGAAGAGACTAGAACAGATAGATAGATAGATAGATAGATAGATAGATAGATAGATAGATATAAAATGTCTGATAGATAGATAGATAGATAGATAGATAGATAGATAATGAATAGACTGGAACAGATAGAGAGAGAGGTAGATAGATAATGAAGAAACTGGGATAGATAGATAGATAGATGTGTTTCATTGAACATGTCTGACAAGGCACATCGCATCATCTTTTTATTAGAATTTTCTTTTTTTTTAACATAGAGGCTAGAAGAACTGTCACAATCTTCTTTGGGCGGGGTGGGGAGGTCAGATCACTTCAGGTTAACTTATTAGCCATCATTATGGATATTTTTGTATGTCTATTGTGTCAATTTTTTTTTTTTTAGCATAAGAAGTATTTAAGTTTACGAAATCAATAAATACATATGAACACATTGACCCGATTGGGAAATGAAAACAGTTCTATTGTTACAAAAGATAAAAATTACCATCACAATTTAGATATTAAGACATACAAAATCATTCTTGATAATAGACAGATAGATAGATAGATAGATAGATAGATAGATAGATAGATAAGAACAGACTGAGAAAGAAAGAAAGAAAGAAAGAAAGAGACAGGGGTAGATAGACAGATAGATAGATAGATAATGGAAAAAAATGCGATAGAATTTAAAGAACTTCAATAGATATTAAAAATATAAATTAGCGACAATCTACCCATCGCACCCACCCTCTGTCTTTTTTAAAATACTTTCATGGTAACTGCTCCGATGAGCTGCTTTCATTGGTTCCCAGACTTCATGAATTTTATCGTTCAACTAGGCTGGCATCTCGCTCTCATCCTTTCACTGTCGAAACTATTAAATGCAGCCGTCTCTTCTACTCCAATAGCTTCATGTCTCACACCTCTCGCCCGTGGAACTCCTTCCCCTTTTCTCTCATAGCTATAATCTCCAACTATTCAAATGTAATGCCAATCGACATCTCCAGATGCCCTGATCTATCCCCTAACCTTCACTCCATCCTTTCCTCTATAACTCATTCTTTACGAATCCTCTGCACTGTCCTCAGATTGACACCCAAACACTTTGAAATGTTCATATTGGAGCTTCCTGCGCGAATGCCAAGCATAACAGCATGTCTTTTCCAAATTTGTAGCAGGGTGAATTGCGACATGGTGCTCTTTTTCTCATAGATGGTAACCAACTGACCCTACTATAATGTGTAGTCGACAAAATCAAAAACAAACAACGCGCATGCGCTAATTTAAAAATATAAAATGGCGACAACTTAACCTCAAACCCTGATTATATCTGGACTTTATTCATAAAATGTCTGTAATGTGATCGATCCTGACTTGATTTCGTGATTTCAGACACTTTCCTACCGTCGTGACATGTCTTCCCACTGTCTTTTTTAGAAAGACAATTGCCCTGATGAACTTTGGTGTCTCGACTGGATGATTTCAAGCGTATTTATAGATTGTTAACTAGGTGTTATGGTCCAGGTTAGGACCAAGAAAGAACAACACGAACACAAGTGTAGAAATAACGAAGGTATATTACACGAAATAATAATACAAGATGTGGAAGGTGTTAGTATGACTGTCAGTCTGGTTTGGAGTGAACTACTACCGGCTCGACTCGATTCGATATTTACTTGCCCCCCAGACGAGGGGAAAGATGGCAGAGAGTCCGACCGTCAAGCCGGGCTTCTCGGCTTGATTCGGTATCTAGCCACCCCCACCAAGAGGGTTGCATGTGGCACAAACGGGATCGTGTTGGTCAACCTCCCCAAACGAGACTCTGCCCTTCGGCGGAGCCACGTCCGGGTTCCTCTCTGCTCAGAAGCAGAGAGTTCCACCCTCAAGCCGAGAAGCTCGGCTTGATTCGGTATCTAGAGCCCCACCCACCCCCACGAGGGTTGCATGTGGCGGAAGGCCGAGTTTAACGTGGGTTTCCCGAGCCAGTAGGCTCGGCCAAAAAATGCCCGTAGAACCCGTATAAACGGAATCGGGTTGGTCAACCTCCCCGAACGAGACTCTGCCCTTCGGCGGAGCCTCGTCTGGATTCCTCTCTGCTCAGAGGCAGAGGGTTCGACCGTCAAGCCAAAACGGCTCGACTCGATTCGACCCTCTCTCTTGAGAGGCGCAGTATACATAGTGTTAGGATGATTTCATTCTGTAGTTATAGGTAAGGACCCATGACACTAGGTATTACCGTTTTCCTGTTGTTCGAGCTAAATCCATAGTATTATTCTATGCTATTAGTTTCTTTTCTCCCACTTCTCGCATGTGAAACTTTCTTTCGGTCCCTTGCTTCCCTACAATCTTCAAATATTTAAATGCAACGCCAATCACCATCTTTTGTCGTCCATTCTGTTCATTTACTGTCCTCACTTCTCACTAATTCTTCCCATTCGCTTTCGTACCCCTCGGGGCATCATCGCTTTGTTTGGGTTGAAATGATTAAGAAAAAAGGAACATATTAAACATAATAAGCAGAAAATAGAACTCACTAGCTTATTAACCATTACACTACCCAAATTCGCATTTTATCTTGCGATTGGCTCAAATTTTAGATCTCTTTTCACTAATCATTTTCCACCAGTCTACTTAACAATTACCCCACAGCGAGTTAATCCTTGTAACGACGTTAAATTACACCCGGCAGCAAAGCCTCTGACACCTTGTGGTAGCACCTGTTAGGGTCGCAGCTATCGGCACATAATGAACACCCAAACATAAATCAAAAGTAAAATGACCACCAATGCATTTTATAACAAGATTACAATAATGCATTTTATAGAATTACCAATAATACATTTTCATAGAAACTGATATGCCGCTAAACAAAATCAACCAAACCAAACTAAACAATATATTTTATAATAAAGTGACCAAAAATACATTTTTATAGTAAAATGACCAACAATATATTTTTACATGCCAAAATGCCAATCCGTATATTTTATAGTGAAACTGAACACGTAACATTCATTTTCAAAGAAAAAGAAAATAAAATAAAAAACAATTTTGCTATGATTAAACTCATATTTCTTGTAAGGAGAAACAAGTTTTCACTTCTTGTTTGATTTTGTAAGTTTATTCAGTAAAAAAATGAAGCTAAGAAATTACAATTCAATCATGAAAATAATATAATTCTCTTGAAATACCGTATTTTCCGGTTTACAAGAGGCTGTGGCTTGGAAGACGCACCCGAATATTGGAAAGAAATTTCTAAGAAAAATAAGTTATTCTCATACAACAAGACATTATTCACCATGCGGCCCTCACATACTGGGAAGACGTATTGTTTACATTAATCACTCGTCCGATTTTGTTTATATGGCAATGACATACTAGTCAAGAGCTGAAATGCTCCAGCCGCTGCTAGTAAACAGAGTATTTTTAAGGTTGTGGCTCGGCTCCAGGAAGGTTTATAGTTTTGGAAATATTTGTAACAATTAAGTATTAGATTACATAATATAGAAAGCTGAATTAGATAGATACCTAACATTACAGTGTAATGATTCAACATACAAATCTATGTCCCTATCAGTCAAGCAAATTAGGTGACCGTCCAAGTTTACTTGAGGCTTGGCGTTGCCTTACATTCGTCTTGGAAGATATACACGTATTTTTCAGGGTATTTTTAGGAAAAAAATGTTCGTCTTGTAAGCCGAAAAATATAGTAATTATAAAGTTAGAATTTTTATATTTAGATTTTGGCATTAAAATTATTAGCGAAACATTTTTATAGTAAAATGACTAACAATAGATTTTTATCGTAAAATTACTAAGTACATATTTATAGTAAAATTAAAAGCAATATATTTTTATAGCATAATTACCAACAATACATATTTATAGTAAAATGACCAACAATACATTTTAATAGTAAAATGACCAACAATACATTTTCTAATAAAATGACCAACAATACATTTTCTAATAAAATGTCCAACAATACATTGTTATAGTAAAATGACCAACAATACATTTTATAGTAAAATGAACAATTCATTTTTATAGTAAAATGACCAACAATACATATTTATAGTAAAATGACCAACAATACATTTTATAGTAAAATGACCAAGAATACATTTTTATAGTAAAATGACCAACAATACATTTTTATAGTAAAATGACCAACAATACATTTTTATAGCAAAATGACCAACAATACATTTTATAGTAAAATGACCAACAATACATTTTTATAGTAAAATGACCAACAATACATTTTATAGTAAAATGACCAACAATACATTTTTATAGCAAAATGACCAACAATACATTTTTTATAGTAAAATGACCATCAATACATTTTTATAGTAAAATGACCAACAATACATTTTTATAGCAAAATGACCAACAATACATTTTTTATAGTAAAATGACCATCAATACATTTTCATAGTAAAATGACCAACAATACATTTGTATAGTAAAATGACCAACAATGCACATTTATAGTAAAATGACCAACAATATAAATTTAAAATGGCCGTATTTTTATGTTTAGCTTTTGATACAATTCTAATCGTCACATTTTGAAACAATAAACATTGCCGATGAGTGAAGGCAGCAAAAGTAATAGCGACGTCAATGAAAAAAAAAGCGTTCTTTCAACATTCCGTTAATTTGCAGGCACGAATATTAAGTTTGCCGGCAAATTTCCCGAGGAAAAAAATGTGATATAAATCCCTCAACATAGCAAAGAATAATTAGAATTTCCTCACAGACAAAAAGCAAACTTCTCGGCGATGATGAGGCTCTACAAGAGAATGGTGGGAATACCATGGAGGGAGAATATGAGTAAAGATGAAATCTTAAGGAGAACAGAACCAAAATGTACACTGGGAAGGGTTATACCGAAATTCGTAGGAGCATTGGGATAACTAAAGATGCCTTCAAAAAAATAAGCAAAGTATTAAAAAATAGAAAAATTTAATAAGAAACCGGGAACTGAACAATTTTTTAATAAAAGTCCTCCTATATAAGAATTAAACTTGGACAATCTGCTCAAAGATGAAGAAGAGACTTGAAGCAACAGAAACAAAGAAAAAGAGCTAAAACAATATCAATCCTTATATGCAGTGAATATGGACAATCCTCCCATAGATGAAGAAGAGATATGGAAACAGTGAAAAGAGAGCTGAACTGGATGTAACATCAGTCTTCCATAGATGAAAGACAAAGAGATGAAGAAGAGCAACAGAAACAAAGAAAAGAGAGCTGAATTGTTATGCAATATCAGTCCTCCTATATGGCAGTGAATGCTGGACAATCTCCTCACAGATGAAGAAGAGACTTGAAACAACAGAAACAAAGAAAAGAGAGCTGAATTGTTATGTAATATCAGTCCTCCTATATGGCAGTGAATACTGGACAATCTCCTCACAGATGAAGAAAAGACTTGAAACAACAGAAAGAAAGAAAAGAGTACTGAACTGTTATGTAATATCAGTCCTCCTATATGTCAGTGAATGCTGGACAATCTCCTCACAGATGAAGAAGAGACTTGAAACAACAGAAACAAAGAAAAGAGAGCTGAATTGTTATGTAATATCAGTCCTCCTATATGGCAGTGAATGCTGGACAATCTCCTCACAGATGAAGAAAAGGGTTGAAGCAACAGAAACAAAGAAAAGAGAGCTGAACTGTTATGCA